CACACACAGAGATAAGTGTTTTTTCAGGAGGAAATGCTGTGAACAATGGTTGAGAAAAGAGGTGGAGGCTAGAGGAACATGTGGCGCAACTCAGTGACAATCCATTCAGCGTAATTATTGACTGCCCCATCCATGTTAAACACTGATACTTTGTATTGTATGTGTGTCTGTTGCCAATCATTCCTTTTCAGGAACCATTATGGTTTAAACTAGCAAAAAAGTCAAACTAATGAAGCCTGGGCCTAGAAGTATCAAAACATTCCAGTGTAAATCATGTCACATTCATTCTCTTATCTGTAATATGGTTTGCGCATGACCGTGTTTGCTGTTGTAACGATTTAGGGCAGGCACAGACCACCTTGGAAATGAGTTAACTCATGTCACATTTTTATGCTCAGCTGGAAAGACAGCAAAGGCTATAGAATGAGGAATTCTGTGTATTTACTGGCAGGTGTGGTGCACAAAGGTTTCTTCTACTTATCAATAGCATAACTCCTAAAAAAAAGTGAATGTATGAGACATTGCAGTTAGGTTCTTGGTTTTGGTTTGCGTTTTCAATATTTGGTTGCATGTTAGTCTTAGCTTAATTTTTCAATACTATTTCAATGCCGATTTCAGTTTCTCGTATCTTAATTTTGTGACTCTTTGGATGCCTTGTTGCTCAATTTTGTGTTGCTCTTCATCAACTCAAGTCTCCTCACTTGGTCATTGTTCCAAACTGCTGCTTTTCAGTAAACATTCTACAATCTACAAATGACTCTCAGTTCCATACTTTCTTTGTCAGATCTGCTGTGTTTCTACCACCTCTTACTCTGCTCTGCTTTTTATTTTGTGCATTTTAAGTGACCCTTGTTTTTTTCACAGTTTAGTTGCAGCTCTTTATATCTAACATAGCTGCGTTTTTTTTGTAAAAATACATTTTTTAGAGTTCTCTTGACAGGTTTGGTTCCTGTGTTTTTGCCCTTGTTATGGAAATTCTATTAGTCTGAGTCTGTCTTAGGAAGTGAGAAATAGAAATGTTTTAAAAGAGAAAACTTTTAACTACTTCTGTTTCAACTATTTATTCAGTCTGTCAGCCATTTTTCACTTCTGATATGCTGACAGATCTCTTTGGGTTAAAAGCTCCAGCTTTTCAGTACTGTATCCATTTTACACTTTTTTTTATTTCAACAAAGTTGGGTCCCTCAGGATGTTCAGGGTTCCAAGACTTGCCGTAGCCCATCTTCGCACAAACCAGATGGGGGAATATTCCTTACTCACTCTAGGGACGTTTCTGAAGATGTACACTAAGTATATTCACTGAAGTAGTGCTGCATTGCTCCCACGGAGTGCTGTGCTCCTGGTACTTTAAATGAAGTACTCGTACTATTACTGCAGTAGTACTGCCTGGCACTGAAATCAGTGTTATTACTCTTTTTCAAAAGTTAACCCCTTGTACTTGCAACAACTACCTGCACCCATACTATTTTCCAAAAATACTGTACACTGCTCTCCTGACCTGATCACACAGTGAATTTAGCAGTGCCCAAGTAACGCTCAAAGAGTTCGATTCAACACAGCTTCTGAATAGTGGTATCCTACTCCAGCTGCTGTTGTAATAACTCTGAAAGAGTCATTGCACTTTGAAACTGCAAATGTAACACTGCGGATTCACTGTTTACTTTTCTCTCTAAAAGTAACATCTGGTACCTACCTAAAGTACCTATACCTGTTCATGTACCATCTGCTAATAGTAGCGAACCCTGCTCTAGCGTATATCAATCTACCGCAGACTAATCTCGCCCAACCCTCCAGTAATCTCCCCAGGGAGCCACTAAAATATTAAAAACAATTACATTTTGAACCACTTTAATTCCATTTTAAATTCTATTTTATTTAACCGAATTCTAATCTTTGTGCACATTTATTCTTACCACCTCAGACCACTTCCACACGACGGTACTCCATCCCAGCGCTGGGGCTCCAGAACCAAACCTGTCATTCCTTTCTCCCAAGCCCTTGGAGGTTAAAGGCTGGATGCTGTCCGTCCAGGCTGGCCAAGACACTGCAAGGTTCTGGTCCAGAGAAACCAGTCCTGGGATCCTGTTTGTGGAAATTCTATTTTAAGTCTGAGTCCATCTGACGAAGTAAAAAATAGAAATGTATTAAAAGGGAAAACTTCATGAAGTGAGAGCAACCAGCACCATCATACAAAGGGTTCATATTATGAACCAAGCTGCTCAAAAGCAAAACAAAATCAAGGTACTTGAAGAAGAGATTTTGGTCTATAATACAAAATCAAATTATTTAGACAGTCTGGAAGACATGGGTAAAAAAATGGCCTTAGATCTCACAATCTTCTAGGTGACATTGCATAAAAAACAAGCGCGATTCTGACATGGGGGTCAGTGCATGGGCTCAGGAATAGCTTTAGAATGCAGTGTCTGTAGTCTGTACCACAACGTGCTGATCCCATGCACAGAGGCTAGTGCCATTCGGCCAGCTGATTGCATCCTATCAAGATGTTTGTCATGAATGAAGCGACATTGTGCTTGAGGGAGCCACATGAAAAGGCAAATCTTCAGCAGCTTCGGTTCTCTGCGTTGTTGCTCGGATACAAATGTGTCGTAGTGATCAAGGTGACATCTTACTCAGAGTGAGAAAAGGTTTTATTTGAACAAATTTAAACTGTATTGAGTAAAATCAACCCCTTTGTTTTACTAGAGGTAGTTGATAAGAGTGCCTTGTATGTATATGTAACATTATAGCCATATTGTTGTTGTGCTGTTTTTGTTTTTCGTTCAATTATCAAACACACTGCTTTCGTTTTCAACGTGTATCTATATGAGAGGTGGGGGTGGTCAAGATTGGGGGTTGAGGGAAGTTTTAAAACTCTCTGTCTGCCATCTGTATCATACAATGGCTCTAATTATTCCCCGCTCTCTCTGTCTCTCTCACACACACACACATGCACACAAACACACACACACATACACACATGCACACAGCTTTCCTGTCAAATTTAAATCAGCTGACAGGGCAGTTTATGCTAACACAGTGATCATTGAACAGTTAATTACTACAACTAAAAACTGAAATACGAAGGTAATCCAACATGAAAAACCCTCGGTTTTCTGAGCAATTGGAATAGGTGTGTGGGGGTATGCATGCCCTCACTCTTAGTGTCTCTAATAGAATCATTATACACCGTTTTTGACATCCACATAATGTATTCCTATAAGCTTCCCTTAACATTTCCACCACAGCTCATACAGGCATTGGTTAAATTTAATAAGGTATCAAGATATTGCATGCCAACAGCAGATGGTTGCTTAGCAACAATATCATCTGATGAAAATTTGGTTGTGGGTGAAAGTATCACTGTAGTTAAATGAGGGTCAGAGTTTGGCCGTGTGGCCGTAAAATAAGGTTGTGTGTGTGTGTGTTTGTAAGAGTAATGATTATACAGCAAGTCTGACAAATGAGATATTCTTCAGAGTCAGCAGTTTGACCAAAAAATAGAAATACAGAAATACATATTTGACATGAGCAGACAGCATAGATTCTGTGTCTGTTAGTACCAAGTAGGAAATTTAAAACTGAAATAAAATCAGACAAAGAGAAATGTTCCCCATCAAACTTATTTTGTCTGGTCTGGATAATGTTGTGTTGAAGACCTACAGGGTTAGTTCGTTAGCCGTAACCCTAACAACTGTCACTGGCAAGCTAACAGCTAACCGTGCTATTGATTACAATTTTGACAATTTTTTTTCAGGTCAGTAAAAAAAACGGACAACCATCGGTAAAACAAAAAAACAGGCAACTTTTGTCCTTAATACTTTTAAAAAACCTACTTGCTATTGAAATAGAGATGTGGGATGTGGAATTACTCAGTGCTTTTCTAGTCTGGTCACTCATATGACCCTTTTTCTACAAGTACATACTCACCTCAAATTGACTTTACTCAACTTGCATTGGCTTGGTTTAGGTGGGTTTCCATTACAGGTGAGATTGTATTATAGCAAAGAGACCTAAAACTCCTATGACAGAGTAGGGTAATAAAGCGCTACATGTACTTGAGGGACTTTTTGGACAAATTCTACTTACATGATGGAAAAAGATTTACTTTAACATAACTACATTTTTTACATAAGTGTATTTATGAAGAAACATTAGTTTTACTCTGTTAGATTGAGCAATATTCTCTTTGCTACTTTTTAAATCCGTAACCAATGCCAGCTGTTTGTTTGAGTTTTGTCAAGAGAAATTCACAAAAGTCTACCCCACATTTCAGACAGCATCCTCCAATCACATGACGACACGCACAAACTCTGTGCGGCTTTACGACAACAAAGCTGTGAATGAAACCGATGAAACAATGGTGGTTGATTCAGGGCAAGAAGATGTTTAATATCATTGGTATGTTGTGGCTGTATTGTTATTGTTTGAAATTCTCTACCAAATTTGAAACTTGGTTTTAGTATTGCTTCCCACCCATACCAACTTCAAAAAACCCAAATTAAGCTAAAAGCCGCAATAGCAGTTAACTGGAGAGATTTAATTAATATTGATCGAAAATGTTTGCAAAGACATGAAATACTCTGACATGTAGCTGCTTGACTTGATCAGTTTAGTATACCCTAATTATCACAAGGGAAAAGTATTCCAAATGAGAGTTACATCATAAACTTGCTCGGAAAACACCTTAAAAAACAACCCAGTTTAGTTTATTGGTAGATCTTACTTATTCCAAATTACACAGGTTCATTTGAGGTACTCTGGTTTGTTTGCCATTTTCTGTTGTACACTCTTAAACCCAGTCAGTGATATTTACAGAAATTACATATACTTCAAATGAGTAGACCGTGTCTGAAAAGGCTCTTTTTTTATGACGTTCGGTAATACAGAGAGCTAATAATCTTTTAGGAACCACAAATTACACCCTGCAGATGGCTCACAGAGTGACTGGACATTAGCAGTTAGCTGGAAGCAGACATGATGCACTCTCTTTCTCTCTCACTAGGGCTTGCTGACAGGAAGTGTGTGTCTGTGTGAGCAAACATGTTCCGAAACAGCCTGAAGATGCTGCTAGGAGGCAAGGGTCGCAAGATAAACAGCAGTGGTGAGAACCCACCACCATTTTTTTCTTTTTTTTAAATTTTGGATCAATGTTTGCCAAAATGTTCAAACGGCTGGTTGCCTTTGTCGATGACCTCTCATTGTCTTTTTCTCTCTTTTCCAATAGGTGGCAGCAACATCGATTCGGAGGGCTTAGACGGCAGGACGATGGAGGGGTTCACCCGTTCTCTCCCCTCCTCCCCCCTCCTCAACATTCGCTTGGCCAAGAGAACTGGTAGGCGCGTTTAAGACTAACCACTGATCGACTTGTCAGCCTGTCCTACTCTGTGATAATTTTTAACCACCCCATCTTACACACACACACACACACACACACACACACACACGCACACACACAATTATACATGTAGTTGTAACTTGTTAAGCAAAAAAAAAAAAACACAAGGTGGTTGACTTTTGACCCCATGTTTGATCGCCCATATGTGCATTATTAAGAGAGAAAGCACAGAAACAGAAAATTCTGAACCCCACCACACTGCCAGCTGCCCCTCCTCTTCCTCCTCCTCGGGGCTGATTTGAGACACGTTTCCTAAACATTACCATGTGGCGTGTCTCTGTCTTCCTCTCCTGCTCTGTGCCTCTGCACAGCTTGCAATGTCTATGACTGTGAGAAGGCACCTTCTCACAGTAACTGCACCATGTGCGCCGTATACACAAACAAGCTCTGGTGTCAATTTCCTTCCCCAGTTCCTCTTCCCTTTCTTCTTGTTTTTAAACCTATCCAGCTAACAGGACTTCTTTGTCCTATTTCTTTTTCTGAGCCTTTATATCCTCACAACTTTGTACTTGCAATCTGCTTAAGACACTCTTCAAGGTCAGATTCCCAAATGCTCTTTCTCTCTACCTTTTCAGACTCCACGGTGTTCTTTAGAGTATACTGTCCTGTGTGGTGGTCAGACCAAAAGAGATTTGATTATTGGCAGGAACTTGAGGTCCACAAATTTTCTGTGATATTTTTGTATATTGGCAGGCAAAATCTCTGTTGAAAATATGGGCAGAGAGTCACAGCCAGCCATTTAACTTATGTGCCTTCAGCCGCCAGAGCTGTTCCTATTGGCATGTCACTTGGAAGGAAATAACATATTTTTGACCTCGCTGCTGTTTCCCCATCAGTAATCCAAGATGGTTCAGTTTTGTCTACGTCAAAAAGGAAGAAATGGTTTAATTATTTTTCATCTTTTGTTCCCGCTTTCCAGGACATCTCCCCTGTAACATATTTTTATTTGTCGAGCAAATGTGCAGATAACACACACCGCTATATAGAACTGTTTTCAGCCTGGATTTAAACATTGTCAGAGTTGAAATCTGTCACTTATTCAGGAAAGCTGTTACAGATTTTAGAAGCAGAACACTAAAAAAACAGTCTCCCCTTGTTTGGTTCCGAATCTGACAACCAGCGCGAGACCACTACCTGAGGTTTTCAGAGTAGGAGCTGGTTCATACGACTCTAACATTCCAGAGATGTACTGTGTGCTATTCTCTGAGCAGAAAACTGGGAACTAGACTAATTTGATCGTATTTTCTGGTTCTGTCTCACAACTTGTTTAGAGAGCTCAGTAAGAAGGACGTTACAGTAGTCTTACCTGCTAGAGACAAATGCATGGATTATCTGTGGAGATTCATTCAGTCATTCAAGTCATGGGCAAGATCAAAAAGTTCAGTTTAGGCAACTGGACGGAAAGTTTTCTAGAAGACGTTTCGGCTCTCATCCAAGAAGCATCTTCAGTTCTAAGTGATGGTGGGGAGCACTGAAATTAATATATTGTTGGTGTAACAAAAGAATTAGGGGAAAAAACGTCTTCCAGAAAACTTCCTGTCCAGTTGCCTAAACTGAAATTTTCATGCATGGATTAGTCTTTCTAAGTCTGGTTTAGACACAATTTCTTTGATTCTGGCAATTTTATTAGATAGTAAATGGCTGCTGATGTTGCTCATTTAATGTGGCTGATAAAGTTCAAGACTCAGGAGATTTCTAACCTCATTATTAGGTCCCAGAGAAAACATCTCAAGGTGACTGATGACACTTTTTATTTGTTTTTGTGGCCCACAGAAAATAATTTCAGTTTTGTCAGAGTTTAACTGGAGAAAGTTGTTGTGCGTCCACACACTGATCTGTTCCATACAATGACACAATAAATAAACAGGTCCATGTTAACCAGAGACACTTAATCAAGTCTGAGTGTCAGCTGTACAGTTATGGTAGGACACATTATAACTGCATATTAGCTGGCCTTATCTATAGATTGACCAAAAGTGGTCCCAGTATTGACCCCTGGCGAACCCCACAGTTTTAACCATTTGGTCAAAGTGCCACCTGTCCTCGAGATAAGAATTTAATTTAAAGCAGTACAAGAGATTTCCACCCCGTCTTCTAACCTTTGTAATAAAATAACATGATTTCAATTTCAACAAAGTACCACCTGTCTTCGAGATAAGCAGTACCAGAGATTTCCAGAGATTTCCACCCAGTCTTTTAACCTTTGAAAAAATTATACATCTTCTCATTCTGCTTACAATTGTCAATTACCAGAAAACTGGCATGATCCAAAGACAACAGCAACAGTTCTTGCAGATTTGGACATCGATCACAGAACGTAGATAGACAGAACTATAAAAAGGTTCCTGTACTTCATGAGGGCCCTTTAGTTTGAACATTCTCCACCAGTTTCACAGATGTTTCTCAGCTGAACTTCCAGACTTTAACCACTCTCTGTAAAAGCGTTCCTGTATACTGGAACTGTCTTTCAAAAATTAGAAATGGGACTGTAGCAGCTGCCAGAACGCAAACGGAGAGAGGATTGAAGCCGGCTGAACTTTCCAAGCTTGCATAGGAATATAACTTTTGACAAAATTTTCAAGTATATTTAGCATTTGATCTGAAAAAAACATCTTTTTCTTTTGGTTTTCTGTTGTAGAGTAGAAACAAAAGTTATACATAAAACATCCTAACATAGTTATCACTCCTAATTACTCACACTCTCTACATTTTTGTCATTTTCTGGTCTAAGTGGATTACATTCTTCCATGGCCACTGTGATCTGTGGTCAGACGCTCCTCTGTTCCTGGAAAAGGAGTTCCACTTTAATTGCAGTGTTTCTTTTTGCTCTGCTGACCTTCTCTCTCAGCTCGTGATTTTCCCTTTTTCAAAGACTAAATAGTCACTCTAAAGTTTTCCTTGCGCTTCTCTGTGTGATACAGAGACTCTGCAGTCGAGCTCCTCCCGCAGACCTACACAGTCTGTACGTGTGTGTGTTTTTTTTCATTTTGGTTGGAGGAGGGGAGGTTTGATTTGCAGCGTACTCGGATGAAGGAGGTCGTCTTACAGAGCAGATATGGAGGCTCCGCTGCTGAAAGAAAGACTCCTTGAACAACCAGAAACTTTGACCGTGTTTTTGTCCAGAGTTGCCCACTGGGAGAAGATTGATTTCATGAATCTGAGCTTTGGTTGTTGATTTCGCCTTTGGAAGTTTTGCCCTCACCTATGAACGGAAAAGACTGCCTTCTTTTTATTTATTTGTTTATTTAGTAATTTATTTTAGTGAGCCGAAAAGGACACTGAGGAATGGAATGAATTGACCAGGTTTGCCATGAGCTTTTTTATCATTTGTCATCTATATTTAACAAAGACATTTTGCTGCACACAAGAAGCTCACCGCCATTACTATTCCCCATGTATTCAGCTTTAAAACTGAAGCACTTCTAGTATTTTTCCTGCTTTCCCTGGAATGTCTCTACTTATCCGTTCATCCATACCTCTTTCATCTCTTCAGTCCTGCTGTCCTTTGTGTATTCTGGCGAGGGAGGAGCTCAGGACCAAAGAGGAAAAGAAAGTGATGTCAGCAAATTTTCTGCTCAAAACTGTGTCAGAGATCAGAACCACTACTCTGCTCTTTTTTATGGAAATTATCTGAGCCAACCAGAACTTACTGAGAGCAAGCTATGGACTGCCCGGCAGCTATTTTGAAAGCATGTGCCCGCTCCAGAATCAAGTGGTGTGGGCACCAGCGACATTCTGTGTGTCATTCGTGGATGCTGGCAAGCAGCTGCAGCTGCAGAAGAGACGTTATGGCGGCAGGATTTGTCACCAGTGCCTCATCTGTTGTTCGCCGCGCACTTTTGAATTTATGCTGCTGCTGCTCACGTGAAGAGAGCTCTGAGCTCTGTCGGAAATGGGGGGATCATCCAGTGGAAAGAGGAGAAGATGAAGGTGAGGGTGATGGATTCAGCAGTGAGACGGTCACCTGCAGGAGTGAGGAATTTTTTTTTAAATACTAAAGCTTTATTCCCCCGTTACTTTTGGCCTCCATAGTTTCTGTGAGCTTTCTTTCAATTAATTGTAAGCAAAATGGGTTATGTTTGTTTAGCATTTTCTGTCCAGAGAAAAACCCACCATGCCTTAAAATCTGATTTGAATTATAAAAAAGATTACTCAGCTGCCCCCTTCTTTGCAACCCTTTGAGTTTTCAGAATGACCACACGCCAAAGCTATAAGCTAAGCAATGATAAACGTAGTTTGCAGTCACCTCAGTGACCCTGACTGGAGTCCATGTTTCAAAGGCTGTTTCTGTTTCTGTTTTCTGGCTCTTTCTGCAGACACATGTATTAAAAGCTCACTCACATACCCCTGATGCTCTAAATGCTCTAACATATAATGCAATGTCCCTTTATATTGACAAATGTACCTCTTTTTAATTGTTTAATCCATAAATGTGTACATTGGATCCTTCAGGAGATTGAAAATAAGCCTGCTAAAACATACAATGAATGCACACAATAAATTCAATGCACCTGCATTTAAAATTAGATTTTGTTTGATTTTACATTGATACCCTGTGCTACATAAAACCATTGACTGTTCTTAATGGGAAAAAGCTGAGAGGACTTTTTATTGTTTTATTTACATACTGTTAGCTGTAAAGAAAACAAAGTCTATGTTTTTTTAGGTGTGAAACTTGAATAATTTAATTGATCCCAGATATGATTAACTCTTGTATTGTATCAACATCCAGAAATATTATGTCGTGAAAGCTTATACCTGATAACAGAGCCATTATGTCAATAAATATGGCTCAGCTGGGCAAAGCTAACAGAGATGGAAATCTTACATTAGCCAAAGGCAATATGCTGAAAATGAACATATGTGATTTTCTACCTAACCCATCTTCCGATTAAATAGCAGTCACTTTATTTTATTACCTTAGCCTTTTAAGAAAAATGACTGAAATACTTAAAAATCCTATTTTCAACCCATGAAAGCTAATGGAGAACATTGCACATCTAAAACTAAAATGTAGAGATGAACATACATCCTAGTTTGAATCACCTGGGGAATAGAAGCCTTTCTGTGTGGAGTTAGCATGTTTTCCACCTTTATGCACTTTTTTCATCGTTTCTTAAGTTGATTATATTCGGGACCTTTAAAAAAAGGTAGAAACTGAGGAAGTAACATCAAAGAATAGAAAAGAGAATGGAACAAAGGAAAAAGAAAGGATTAGCAAAGGAATATGGGAGAAGACATGCAAAGAAAAGTAAATGAGCATGATTAAAGATGTAGGAAGAAAAGGACTGAAGGACCTAAGAGACAATCTGCAGCTGGGATACTGACGAGGAGAGAAATAGAAAAGTTGCTGTGATTTGCAACGGATCTTTCCATTTACTTTTCTTCCAAAAACTACTCACCCACCCTGTCATTGGCTGACCACACACACATGCGAGTATGCATGTACACACATGCTTTTTAGGTTTTACTTTCAGTGTGTGTGTCTGTGATGCTTTGCTGGTACTTTGTCCAACAGTCAGTAATTTGTAGCTGTAGTCAGAGGCAGAGTTTGAGATTTCATGAATGCGTGGGCATTATATCTATGTGTGGATATACAGACAGTAGAAAACTTGCAGCTCAAATTGTGTGCAAGAACTTGTTATTGCTCAGAAAAGTTGATTATGCTACATCAAGTGACATTTGAATGTCCAAAGTGGATAGTTTGACTGTCACCCTGAAATTTTGACCTGTCAAGGGTGTATGTCTCTTGGAGATAGTGAACTGGATAAATTTGATACTGTGGATTGTTGGATTTGATGGATTGGAGTTGCACTGCATGTGGAAATTATTAAACAGCAGCCTGGAACACCAGGGTCAAAAGCCTAGTTTCCTCTTATCATTAGCAGAGTATGACAAGGATTGACCTACTGAAATGAACAAATCAATTAATTATGTTGACTGTACTAAACCAATAATGGCTGCATGTCAGCTTAAGTGGTTTCGCAATGCAGACTGTTTAAAGGTAGAAATGAAAAAAAGCTAAAAGTCTAAATACATTCAGCAAGCATAACATTATGACCATCTCCCTTATATTGTACTAGCCCTAACCCTAACCCAAAATGCAGACTGTACTAGATCTGCAAGGGTGAATTGTGGTTTCTGACGCCAAGATATTTGCAGCAGATCCTTTAAATCCTTTAGACTGTTCTTCCTCCGTTAGATATTCCTGCAAATCTGTTCTTAGTGCTTGTAATAAGTTCTGTGATGACTCTTTAGACTACTTGCTAACAAATAGTTCATAACTCGATCAGAGCTCTTCAAATGACATAAGAACCATATTTTCATTATAAAGGTCAGCTACTTTAGCTATTCCCCAAGATGCCCATATTTGAAGTCTAGGTCTGCTTTACCAGGAGGGAGATCATTGTTAACAAAATATGCAGACAATTGGGATGATTTAGTCATTTCTCCCAGATAGGCTACTGCACAGTTACTTCACAGTTCTGAAAAGCTCACTAATGTCCTTGCTACCAGTGTTGTGGCTTTTGTTGCTTGTTTTTTCTTTTGTCTTTTCTGTGTCCATTTGCAGGGGCTCCTATAGGTTCCCTATCTGGATTGCCCACAAGAAACTGTTTCTTTTGTACAGACATATCAGCTGGTTTAATGGTTTTGTGGTCTTTCTTTTTCTCTTTCTCTCTCGATCTAAAGGATCTTTCAACTTTTCGGGTTTGTTTTTCTTTGCTCTTCTTTCTTCCCTGTCCCTTTGTCAGGTTTGGCATTATTGGGCAGATGTAAAGTTTTTTAATAAAAATAAATAAATAAAGCAGTTTTCGATAATCAAGGGGGGCTTCTCACCAACAAAGCCTCCCTTGACAAAGCAAATGTGTTCAACATAGCACAGTACTATTTTAGTTCTGCTGCCATAATGCTGAATAGGACAAAGTTAAGAAAAAAGATGGAAAATCACACACACTGCAGTTACCTTTTTTAAAAAGTGGGAATCACCACCTTTATCTGCCATTCCACAAGTGTGGTATCAAACCTCCATTAACCTCTAATTTTAGCCACAGTACCTTGTACTTGGATTAGACCACACAGGCCACGCAAATCCAAGTGCATCAATTTGCCTTGGCCACCTGTTGCATGTTCACATATGTTCCTTCTTTTAGCTACTTTTGATGTTTTGACCATTCAGCCAATACCCCTGTTATACTCACTCCAATTATTATGCTTGTCCATTTTTCTACTTCTAACACATCATCTTGAGGATAACATGTTCAGTGGCAACCCAATACGTCCAACTCTCTTCCATTATGAGGAGATAATCAGTTTTATTGATTTTTTACTGATTTTTTTGATTGCAGCCTTTGAATAGTGACTATAATAGGTTGGAAAACAGCTTGAAGAACATGTTCCAATTAACTTGATTGATTAGCAATGGGTCAATGACATGTTTGGGTATAAAAAAGACCACCTGAGAGAGGCAGTGTCTCTAGAGAATAAAGACGGAAGAGGCTCAACAATCTAAAAATAACTGTACCTACACAGTACTGAGTAGTTTCATATCAATTTCCCTCAATGTAAAATTGTGTATAAGCTGAATAATGTATTATCTACTGTTCAATGTCTGCGTGCAGGGGACCTGGCTGAAAATCGTTTGGGCGCCTTCTTATCTGTGAACACAGTTATGTGTGCCATGTATGAATGTATATAGAGAAAGAAGCTATATGTGAATATGACACATTGGAATTAATTCAATTAAAAATATGCTCTGTGGTCAGAAAGAGCTAAATCTGATTTTTTTTCATGGTTTTGTTCAGATGGAACAATATTCCCAAAAGATTAATCAACCAGTCTCCCTGTTAACTGACTTTCTCGTGAAATGTTGCAATTTCTCCATCTTGAATTGGTAAAATGCTAAAAGGACATAGATTAAAAGTTTGGATCAGCTGGTTGGAAGAACTGTCTTAAACTTGGACGCAACTGAATGGATGGTTCATTGGTAAGAAGGACTCTTTAAGCCAATGGGTACTAGTAGAGTTCACTCTGGGTGTCTTTGAGATTTCAGTGCATCTGAGAGTAAGATATACAGGGGTTGGACCATGAAACTGAAACACCTGGTTTTGGACCATGATACTCTATTAGTATGGTGTAGGTCCTCCTTTTGCAGCCAATACAGCATCAATTCGTCTTGGGAATGACATATACAAGTCCTGCAAAGTGGTCAGAGAGATTTTAAGCCATTTTTATTGCAGGTTAGAGGCCAGGTCACGATGTGATGCTGGTGGAGGAAAATGTTTCCTGACTCGCTCCTCCAAAACACCCCAAAGTGGCTCAATAATATTGAGATCTGGTGACTCTGCAGGCCATGGGAGATGTTCAACTTCACTTTCATGTTCATCAAACCAATCTTTCACCATCTTGCTGTGTGTATTGGTGCATTTTCATCCTGATACACGGCACCTCCTTCAGGATACAATGTTTGAACCATTGGATGCACTTGGTCCTCCAGAATGGTTCGGTAGTCCTTTGCAGTGACGCGCCCATCTAGCACAAGTATGGGGCCAAGGGAATGCAATGATATGGCAGCCCAAACCATCACTGATCCCCCCCCATGCTTCACTCTGGGCATGCAACCGTCTGGGTGGTACGCCTCTTTGGGGCTTCTCCACACCGTAATTCTCCCGGATGTGGGGAAAACAGTAAAGGCGGACTCATCAGAGAACAATACATGTTTCACATTGTCCACATCCCAAGATTAGCGTTCCTTGCACCATTGAAACCGACGTTTGGCATTGGCACGAGTGACCAAAGGTTTGGCTATAGCAGCCTGGCCGTGTATTTTGACCCTGTGGAGCTCCCGATGGACAGTTTTGGTGGAAACAGGAGAGTTGAGGTGCACATTTAATTGTGCCGTGATTTGGGCAGCCGTGGTTTTATGTTTTTTGGGTACAATCCGGGTTTGCACCCGAACATCCCTTTCAAACAGCTTCCTCTTGGGTCCACCTTTAATCCTGTTGGATGTGGTTCGTCCTTCTTGGAGGTATGCTGACATTACCCTGGATACCGTGGCTCTTGATACATCACAAAGACTTGCTGTCTTGGTCACAGATGCGCCAGCAAGACGCGCACCAACAATTGGTCCTCTTTTGAACTCTGGTATGTCACCCACAATGCTGTGTGCATTGCAATATTTTGAGCAAAACTGTGCTCTTACCCTGCTAATTGGACCTTCACAGTCTGCTCTCATTGGTTCAATGTGCAATTAATGAAGATTGGCCACCAGGCTGGTCTAATTTAGCCATGAAACCTCCCACACTAAAATGAGAGGTGTTTCAGTTTCATTGTCCAACCCTTGTAGATAAGATGTACATAGACATTTATAAATGTCTATGTTTCTAAAATTACAGTCCTCTGCGGAATTAAACATATTCAACACCTAAACATATTATAAGGATAATACAATATTAAACATTTTCTATTTTTAAAATCACCCATGTGCATTTACCAGTGTATAGATCAACTTTTCTTCACTCCTACTAATCAGATGAGAGCGAGGAGTTAGGACCGCCCCCTTCTGTTGATGAGGCAGCTGATGCTTTGATGACCAGGCTCGGCTTCCTTCTGGGGGACAAGGTCATCAGTGGAGAGCAGGGTCCCCCTTACCATGCCCAGGATGAAGGACAGGTATCCATGTAACATTCTACCTTACCTTGTTTTCTTGTTGAAATATGTAGATCTCAGCTCCGAATTGTGTCATTTTGTGGTGTTTCAGCAGGTTGTGGTTGTGCTTCAGCTGCACTGAGACTCCAAGTGGAGTAACAATAATTTTTTCATTAAATTGTCATAATTCTGATCATATCACAAATAGGCTATACATTGATGTAAAGCTGATATAAAGAGCCAGCTTTAGGCATCTGGCAGCAGTTAAAGTATTTGATTTAATAGTTGGTGTATGACGTAACCAGTTTGCATTTTGTCTTGTTGTGAGAACATGATTTTTTTATACTGTATAAATGCCATTGTTGTTACAAGATATGTATCAGAGCCCAAATAAAAAGATTCAACGCAAATTCCTAAACACATGTGCACCTATTAAATCGAAGTAATCTGCTTCCTGTGCCTCCACAGAGGATCTCTCCTTCCTCCAGTCTGGCCAGCAGCAACACCTCCCCCTGCTCTACACTGCATCCTCCTGCTGGGGGGGAGGGCAACAATAACAGCAAACACATATCTTCCAACCATGCCTCTGTCGCCTCCCCCACATCAACACTGGAGAGCAGAGACAGTGGAATCATAGGTGGGATGAAAATACGACTTTTAGCAGCTTGGTCTGACTTGGATGTGCCTGTTGATCATCAGCACATTCTCAAATCTCTTTTTTAATATTTGTTCACCTTTCCTTTGAACCTAATCTAAAAAAAGATAAGGGAACAGCTTTAAATAAAATGTTATTAGAATACGTTTACAACCCATTCATGAAGCCGAAGGAGGTGGAGCTAGCTTTTCTCCACTGCTGGCACAGAGCAGCACAGACAGAGCTTTCTATACCACAAACTGTTCATGTTTTCCCTCCTTTCCTCTTGCTTTCTTACAGCCACATTGACCAGCTATTCTGCTAATTCAGCTGCAGAGCGCGAGGACGGCGCTAAATACCCCAGCAACTGTTACCATGGCAGCAGCCTCAACCTCTGGCAGCAGGGAGGCCGGCCAGTGGTGAATTCCACGTCTTCTTCAAGTGTGCTGGCAGTCGGTGGTACAAACGACTGCCTACTGTACAGAGCAGATGACAACATGTCCGCCTCTACATACAGCCTGAATCAAGGCCAGGCCTCTGCCCGCTCATCCAGCTCCACCCACTCCGTCACACTTAACCTCATTCCCCGACCAAATTCAGTAGCTGGTAAGTTTGCAAGCGAAAGGGGCATGTGTGTGAATGTGTGCAAGTCTTGTTGGGTCCTGGCAGCGTTGCTCCTAGCACACATTTTCCTGTTTGGAAGGAAATATGTCACTCCTTCTCAACGATTGTGAGTTCTCCAGGGCAAGTCAGTAAACCTCGATGATGGTACATTTAGCAGTTTCATCAGCTTCACTTTTTTAATTGTAGTTTTTTTACTTTTACTTTTTCCCAGAAAGATTCATAACTAGGCCTGTGTTGTAAGGCAAATATATGTATTCTTTTACACGGGCAGTATTACTTATTTTAATCTGTTAGGGCTGTTCATAGGGTGATAAGAAATATCTGCGAATATTTGTGTGGATTTATTTTTTTGTGTAATACAGTAATTCATTTGTTGTTTGTTTATCGTCACCACAATTAAATGCCATTAAAGTCTACAGGGCATTAACATATCATTCAAGAAATAAAGGGCATCTGGGTGGTCAAATAGATAAAAAACAAATAATTAAGGAAAAATTAATAGTATAAACAAAAATAAAATAGAGGAAAGGCAGGAAAGAAACAATATTCCAACCAAAGCCAGAAAAGCTGATTATATTAAACACTTAGAATTAAAATATGAATAATCAGAACAGTAAAAAAAATAATAAACTGATCATGATAAAGAACATGTCTGCAGTTCATAATGTGTTAATACAAAACCACAACCAGCTGAGATCCTCATCCGCGTTTTACTCTTTTTTTCTCTGACTCATAAAAGAAAAAAAGGAAATACACTTTGGGAAAGGAAGGAAGTCATATGTATGTAGTTTTTTCTCACACACAAAAGCAGAATACAAGGCACAGCCTGCTCTCATATTCTCTAAAATATTAGAGAACTGTCATCCGACCGATTGGATCAACATTTTGGTAAGTCTGTCTGTGTTCACGTTAACTACAGCTTTACATTTCTCTTGGATTTTGAATCTGCCAACCTTGTCACCCCGTCAGCCATGCAACAGCCGAAAGGGAAAACAAAGATGT